ACTGAAATGTTTCCATGTCTCTTTTGTTTGCCTCTCAATTCTGCGTCTACAATTCCGCTATTATTCATTTTTTCAATGACGGTCCGTATCGGTCTGTCATTAATTCCCAATGTATTTGTGAAAAAGATTTTACAAACCCTGTACTTTTGTCTGTCTATCGTTAAGTAAAAGGCGTGTTTGTTTTTTCTGTTGCTATCAATTCTTTTGTACTGGTATTTAGGCTTAATCTCTGTGATATGCTTGGCAATAAACGCTCTTTGTAATGCTAGTGATCCCGTATTCCAATAATCTTTAAACACAGTTTTGCGCTTCTCTTGTGAAATTCTTTCATTACATTTCAGCCGACACCGGTCTGCACAGGGATTTCCCATCTTTCTTTCAGAAATCAAAGCGTTTGTCATTGGGGAAGTGTATTTTAAGCCCATGTTTCTTAATTTTTTTGCCAATATTTTTCGACTCCCTCTTCTACTTCTCTTTCGGGTTAATCTCTGAGATAGTTCAGTATTGTTATTTGAACCGTCACATGATAATTCGTTCTCTTTATTTAAGCATCGTAAAGCTAATAATTTCAATGGTAGCGGAATCTTTAATTCAGATGTTTCGTCCATTTCAGGAGAGGGGGCAGGACTATCATTTGTTAAAAAAGTTACGGAATCACCAGCCATCTCTATATCAATCATAGGGCCAAGATCTGGGAGTTCTTGGTTTAGGCACAAAGTTTCATGAATCAATGTAAGGGTTGAATTAAGGGTGTGAGCGTTAGATTTAAAATTGTCGTCGTGACTGCAAACGGAATTAGTATAACAGCTATTGTATACGTTCGCTGCTGGCGATGGCGATTTGTAAAACCGTTGCAATAGCGCTTGGTTTTCAAGACAAAGGTCATTCTCTTCTGATGGACTAGACGGATACTCTAAAGCTAATTGTGTCAAGGCAGATATATTTTTCTGTTGGTGCGTAACAAAATGCTTAATATTTTCTCTTTTTGAAGGTTGTTGTTTAGAAAAAGTATCATCACCGGAACCAAAAACAGAAGTTTTAAGGTGACTTACTGTATAAGGTGCTAATTCGGATTTTGCAGATTGAATATTAGATTTCTCTTTTGACAAAAAGTTGGAAGTATTACCACATTCTCCTTCTGTTGGTGTAACATCGCTGTTATTTCTACTGAAATGTGCTGATTCGAAAATATTCTCATCCCCAGTATCGATATTAGATGATGATTTTGAGGAGCTTGACGATCTAGAAGAACTTGACGATCCAGATGAACTTGACGTTCCATATCTACTTGATGATCTAGATGCACTAGGTGATCGTGATATATTGGAAGATCGTTTCGAATTCGATGCTTCTTTTGGAATAACTTGCCGATGATTTGACCATCTGTCTGTGTCAGTTTCGGAAGAACTGGAACTTTCATTAGATACAGGCTTATACTCTCGATCATCGTCTGACGCCGGAGAGAAATCTTTATTGGAATTATGGCTATCGCACGAAGAGCATGATGATTTTCTGTTACGAAAGGTTTGAATTTCTTCATTTGTGTTTTTTTCATTAAAGGGTGAAGATGTTTCAAATTTAGTTTGAAATTTAGGGAGTTGATTATTGCAAGATATGTTAGGTACAGATTGTGTTCTTAACTGTCTAGAAGGTTCCTCGTGCATGGTTAACTGCGGAATATTTTCTTTTTCAGTCTTCTTAGGATTATTTTGTGTATTCATCGCTTTAATAATGCCCTTAAACTTTAATGATCTTGGATTTGGTGGTGGCATGTTAACTGCAACAAATTGAACGTACAATAGAGACAAAGCACAATAATGCGACGGTAAAAAAGCAATATATAATATAATAATACATTTACAAAAATACTAATAAAAAACAGCATAATTAATTGTGTGAATTAACATGAACACTTTCGCTTAAATAAATTTTGTTCGTCAATTTTACTGAAAAAAAATCATAGAAGTTGTTAGAGTTGTGCTGTGTAGTGCTGTCATTTCTACGCTGTGTACTATTTATTTGGTATATTTATGTTAACGACAATGTTCAAACACGTATCGCATTAATGTGAAAAGTGATAGTTACTACTACATAAACCACAGAAAGTAAAAGAAAGAAAAAAAAGTGTATTTAAAATAATAAAGACATGTTACCATACAATAAGTACACTGAGAAGAATAGTGACACAATACGAAAAAATACAGTTTTTAGATATGGCCGTTTAAAAATGGCTCAACTATGTTCTATATTTTTTATAGTGTATAGATAGTTTATTATTATAAACTAATATTATAAATAGTGTTTTTTATCTTTTTGTTACAGTATTGTAAACACTTTATTGAAAATAAAGAAGCAATAAGATTCCGTGAACACAAAAGTTCTAATTTACAATAGTGTCACTAATCTTCTCAGTGTGCGATCAATAATCTACATTATCAATTATTCTATTATGGAATAAAGTAATTTTAGGAACTGAGACAGTATTGACTTTATCTGTTAAGTAATTTTAAGACATAAAAATAATGTAAACGTGGCACTTTTGCATTTCAACGGCACGATTTGAAAGAAAGTTCATAATTATTTACGGAATTAAGACTTTAAACAAAAAGTGTCATGACTGATTTTAGCTGATTGACTATTTTAGACACAAAAATGGTAGATTAATGTCATTTTTGGCATTACCACGTTATGATTTACAAGTAATTTCAAAGTTACTTATGCATTAACGTCACTAAACAAAAAGTGTCGTTACTGACTTAAGTAGTTTTACAATTTTAAGACAAAATTCGAGTAGATAAGTGACAATATTTTTATAGATACGCTATTGATTAAAATAATAATGATTCTTACCGAAAAATATCTGGACAAAACGACACTAAACAATAAATGACGCTCTTCTTCACAGAATTAGCACTATTCCTTTCTCGATCCCCGCCACTACTGACAAAATGTCGGCAATGCTTTACCGCGTGGTCCCACTCCCCTAAAACAACATAACGTCACTACGCCATCTAGTCAGTTTAAATAAAACTAGAACAACGACTGTTTTTGCATTGTTTAGTTAACTAAAAATAAAAATAGATGGTGCCATAAACATAAAATACTTAAATTTTGGATAGTGACGGTCTTCCTCTGAGCGTGCGATATTGAGATCGTCAGACAAAAAGGAAAATTATAAGAAAAGCACACAATAATTAGAAAATTAACAATTCATTATATAATATTGTTGTCATTAAATTACATATCAAATATCATTCTCCATCAAGGGTCGTCATAAGTTGATAACAATTATACAAGAGTATGTTAATGCGGTAAAAATTAGAATAAAAATAGAAAATACTGAATTCGTTACAATTTAAAGTCCATAAATTCTTTTACAGAGTATATAGGATTTTTCAAGAAAAAGTCTTTCAGCCGGCGCCTAAATGTTTCGTCAGACGGTTCAAGTCTGAGAGTAGGCACAGGCAAAACATTAACCAAAAGATAGCCTCAAAGACCGATCGCTCATCAACCCACATCACGTGGCGCTACGATTAATCTCGCATTTCAAGTACCTATGGCACTGTGTTACAGAAAGTTATCCAGACAACGGTGAGCGACTTTTCAGTGAAGGAAATCATCGTGAAGGTTCTCAACCTTGACATCGAAGAAGGTTCGCAACCTTGACATCGAAGAAGGTTCGCAACCTTCGAAAAACGTATGAAGTCCTCAACCCGCCTATTTTATGGGACGAACCTCGAACAAATCGTGCGCCTGATGTTGCGGTGCCACTCGGAGCTTTAAATCGCAAAGATCTGAGGGGCACTGCCATTGCGCCCGTCACCCTGAGACAAGTTGAAATGTCCTATGTGCCTGTAATTTCACCAGCACCGTTTACCCTTTAAAACCGTTCCTAGCAAACTTTCAAAACGTAGTCTTTCATCTATCAGCAAGCCTAGGTTTCGTGCTTCACTGACCATTTCAACATTTTCTTCTCTAATTGCCAAAGATATACCATGTCCTTTAATTTTCGCTATTTGGTTTCGTGTGCCTAAAACCATGCACTTAGATTTAGATCCATTAAGCACTAATGAATTTGATTCAGCCCATGCAGCAGTATGTTCCAAATCTTCATTTAAATATCTTACTGCATTATGAGTATCATCAGGTTTAAATGAAGTGTAAACTTGAACATCGTCAGCGTAGATATACTGACAGTGTTTGATATGGTCGACTATGTCAGCGCTATAAATAATAAAAAGAATAAGACCCAAAATGGCACAATGTGACACACCTCTTTTAACTTCGCGACTGGCTGACAACAATACTGATCCATTTTTATGATCATATACTTCTACATGCTTTGACCGATGTTTGAAGTAACTGTCAATCCATTTTATGGCAGATACACCGAAATCATAGTAGTGTAGCTTAGATAACAGTAACAGTATTTGTACTCGCGTCAAAGAACATATAGCTGATGTCAAACATCGTCGCGTAGACAAGTCTGCAGTCTGCGAGCATGTCATGGATAAGCCTACACATTCATTGAAGTTTGACAACCCCAGATCCTTGCAAAAGAAACTTTCTTACTCTTACGAAAAATCCCTAACAGACATAAGAATGAAGTAGTACTAATTATTATGTTTTAATTTATTCTAATTTCCATTATTAATTAATAATAAATTTAACTTAATAAAAATTCTTTCAATAAAATAATTGGTAAAACGTAATGTAGAGTAAATTGGAATGTTTTCTTTGTGAAATTAAAAATAAGGTATTTAATTAATAACTATTGTAACTATAGTGAAAAAATAGGGTGGTTTGCGTTAATATTAGACATAACGGGTTGATGACTGTACCACCTCAGTCAACCGTGACCATGAGACCTGTGAAGGGCGCGAAACGTCGGTTTATTTGAAAAAATAAATATACACGATTTAAATCAGGAAAAATAGTTTCATTACCTATATGTAACATTCGCGAAAACCTAAGAACTCAATATGGTCTTTTATTTTCAGTGCATCCGCGTGTACAAACAATACTTACAAATTTCCTCACTGGTTTACGGAAACAGTATGGTTGACCTACCGGTTGACTTATAGCCACAGACACTGGTGGTCCCGGCCTACATCTGTGCATCCATTGCAGAATATGACTTACGAATGTAGACACTACTGGTTCAAAGTGGCCGCTAAAGGCCAATGCCCTTATAACTATCAGATGTCGATGGTGACAGTGGAGTAAGTTACAGTCAATTATTGTACTGTCTGCCACAGTTGAAACGGCACTTGACGTGACACTTTTTCAAAATTTTTTATAACGCACGTGCTAGCCTCGCACTACGGACTACAAAGTCAAAGTCAAATAATGGTTTATTCCGTAGGTAAATTTTTTACACTTGAAAACGTCATTTTTTTAAGCTACTGCTCGTTCACTACGCTGACCTCCTCGAGAAGAACGAGCAAGAAACTCTAGGGATTGCTCTTTTCAAATAAACTTAAATGCTATGGAATACACTTTGAATCACAATTGTGTGGAATCTAGACTCTTATTGTCTTTCCATACTACTTTATCTAAAACATAGTCTTCAATTTTGTAATATGACTTTTCAATAAAAATACTTTTAATGTAAGTTTTAAACTTAGGAAATGGTAATCTTAATATATTCTCCGGAATCTTATTGTAAAAACGTATGCAGTTCCTCATAAAAGAATCGTTTACCTTAGTTACGAAATCGTGGTACCATGAGTTAGGTCTTAGTTCTAATTTTAGTATTATAGATATCGTCTTTCTTAATGAAATTATGTATATTTTTACGGGGATACCAAAATATTTGAGTAAATGTACTGCGATGTCACAGTCATGATACCAGTCTCCTTAAACTTTTTTCTCAGAGAAACCCGAGAACCTAATCAGTACACAGAACGAATCGCTCGTTTTTGCAATACAAATGTGGTTTGTATATCTGCCGCTTTACCCCGCTTGAGAATCCCGTAGGACATTATACAATGGAAGTAACTAAAGTAAACTAGTCTAGCAGTAGCAACATCGGTAAGCTCACGTATTCTACAGACTGCGTATTGTTATACATAACTCCTGGCAGCTATTATGCTGAACCCAGACGCTGCTGCATCAGCAGCCGTCTTCCCCCCTGAGATCGCTCCGTCGCGATCTCAGTCTGTTTCCTATCTCGATCGGGTGCGGTTGCCTTGGGGTCCTTACCTTTGTGCTACAATTATTTTACAGTTTATTAAATCATTTCCTTTTTTAAAAAGGCTTTCCTTGAGGACCCCATAACATTTGGTGGCAGCGGTGGGATGCGAAAATCCCCAGTGCATATATAACTACATTATAAACAATTAAAAACAGACTCCGCTAGTGCCGTGCCCAAAAAGACAAAAACATTAATACTACAGTGTTCTGAACATCCAGTGTGTGTTCTAAAAATCTGATGATTTTTTCTGATGATGATCTGATGATTGATGATTCAATACTTCATCATCGCGCATCGCGTCAAACTACAAACGGTTGTCTACAAAATCAAAGTACATACAACACATCGAACTACGCGTCGGGACGCCGCATCGTTATCTCTCCGGAATGCAGCTCCATCATTTCGCGGAACCCTCGACACTTTCGATTATCACTCTATCATTAATGTAAGTGTTTGTCTTGGTCATTGTTTATTTAACGTTTGTGAATTATCCATATTCAATATCCTAATATTATAACTTATTGGCGGAAACTTTTGTTATTAACCTATCGACGTCAAGTGATGCCAGACATGGATCTAAATGTTCTATTGAAGTTTATCAAGCCATATGATGGTGAACGAGAAACATTGAATTCATTTATTTTAAATTGTAATAATGCCCTTGAACTTGCATCTGAAACCCAAAAAGTGATACTTTTTAAATACATCCTATGCCAACTGCAAGGCAGAGCAGAGTCTGCTTGTTCCATTAAAGAGTTTAGCAACTGGGATCAACTTAAAGATTTTCTTAAAACCCAGTTCAGTGAGCGTAAACACTGCTCTCATTTATTAACCGACCTGCAAGAAAGCAGACAGGACAAGAAATGTCACACAATATTCACTCAAAGTAGAGACTTGTTTATCACAACTGTTAACTGAAATATCCTTATCTATTACCAAACAAAAGGAGCTATCGGGCCGAACGGCAGCAATGGAGGACTTGGCCCTCCACCACTTTCTAATGGGGCTTCACCCCAGATTATCTAATATTATTAGGTCTCGTGCACCTAAGACCCTAAACGAGGCCATCAACCTCGCTGTGTCCGAGGAGAGAATTCAATTATCGCTATACAAAAAGATAAATTCTATGGAACCTAAATCTAATAACAGTAACAATTCAGGCAAACGTTTCCCGCCATCAAAACCAAACAATTTTCAACAACCACAGTCGTACAACAATACACAAAATCCTACCGGGTTATTCTGCAAGTATTGCAAGAACCCTGGACATGATATTAAAGATTGTAAAAAACGGGAATACTATAATAGTAGGAACCGTGACCAACAGCAATTCCGCGGGTATTCAGGTCAGGTTTTTCCCAGGTCATCGCCTAGGCGTGTCAATTATGTCAACAATCATGTCCAGGAGGTCCAAAACGTCCAAGAAGAAGAAGAAGAAGAAACCAGCTATGACACGGTAGATTATTTAAACGAATAAAGGGCTCGCGCCGGTGTCTCGCGAGACCCAAGTCACTCTCCGTATCCTCTCTATTTAACAACGACACCAAAACTCTAATAAAAACTCGTCATCTCACATCCAAGAGCCACACGGGTAACCAGCCCCAAACGAGC